CACCACCCAAGGCCACACCTGGGCTGACCACACCTGAACCAGCCACACCACCCAAGGCCACACCTGGGCTGACCACACCTGAACCAGCCACACCAACCAAGGTCACACCTGGGCTGACCACACCTGAGCCAGCCATACCACCCAAGGCCACACCTGAGCCGACCATATCATCTGCAGCCACAACTCTGCCTATTAGGTCATCCCAACTGATGGCAGAAAAGGAGAAGACAGAATCTCAAGAGAGTATAGTATCCTCCCAGCCAGAAGCCAAGGAGCCCATATCAGAGGCCAATAGGCTGCCCACACCAGAAGCCCCCTCTTCTCCAGCCCTTCTACCAAAGATGTCCCCTAACCCAGAAGAAGTGCCATTTCTCTACAAGCCCCATCGCAGCCAAAACAGCCCTAGCCGCGAGGTTGCTGTGGTGATGCCTACGCTGGCCAGAGGAGGGGCAGCAGAGTCAGAAGAGAAGGAGCCCCAGGGCCTGCCAGTCAAACCCCCTGCCCCAACCCCGCCTGCTGACCAACTCCTCCGACACCCAGTGACTGGGGAGGTGGTGGAACAGGGCTCCCCCATGGCCCTGCTCTTGGCAGCCAGGCAGAGAGCACAGAAGGGGAGGTCTGGAGGGGCAGCCCTGGGGCGGTCTTCCCTGCCTGGGAGTCTCCGGGGCCACAGGAGCCATCCTGAGGCTAGCTCCGACAGCATCTTCTACAGCGATGGCCGGCCCAACTCCTTCACTGTGGTTCCCAAGTTACCCAAGGACGCTGAGAAGGACTCCCAGCTGACCTCGGCTGCACCGCCCATGGCACCCAGTCAGTGGAAGCCCCCGCAGGGAAGAGACCAAGAGCCAATCCATCGTCCCATGTGGACCAAGGCAGAGCCCCGAGTCCCTGTGGCCTGGGAAAGACCAGCTCCCTCCAACCTCTCCCATGGTCGCCTGCTGCCCAAGTCCTCCTCCTCTCCACCCTCTCCTTCCTACAGGAGGAAGGAGGAGGAAGAGGAACCAGAATTCAGCTTTGAGGTCATCCCACCGCCGCCAGAGTTCAGCAATGACCCCGAGCCCCCCGCCCCGGCCCCGGCCCTCCAGTACGTGGGCTACCGGGGGTCCCCAGCACGGAACAACTTTTCAGACTTGGGGCAGCCCCTGGACGCGGCCCCGCGGGCTCGTGGCTTCTCGCGCTTTCCCGGTGCGCTCTACTCCGGGGCCGGGGGCCTGGAGCGCTTTTCGGGCGGGAGCCGTTCGCTCATCAAGAAGCGCCTGTACGTCGGGGAGCCTCCCCGCAACCCCGGGCTGCCCCGTGGCGCCCCCGGCCGCAGCCTGAGCACTCCCAACTGCTTCGGACCGGCGCCCGGAGGGCCCTTCGGGGCGCCCGGAGGCCCGGAGATGCGGCGCGTCAACTCCGCGGGCCGCGCGCCCCCCGGCGGCTTGCACGCGCGCAGGCTGTCCCAGGAGGGCGCTGCCCGGGGCGCCGCGGAGGCCAAGTACAAAGCGCCGAGTGGCGGAGGCAGCGGAGGCGGCGGCGCAGACTACAGCTTCGTCCCTGCTACGGGCAGGTGAGCTTGGGGATCGGCTAATGGAGTAGCCCGGGGAGGGAAGCCAGGTGATGTCCGTGAAGACACTGCCTTCGGACCAGAGTTGCTGACCAGGCCACGGCAGATCAGCTGTGGCTTGCTGAGAAAGGGAAGGGAGGCTTCCTAACCTGGGAGGGGGCGGTGCGGGCCTTTCCTTACCTGCCCCCTTGTTGCCCTTATTCGCTCTCCATGGGCTCCCTTCTGTCCCTCACTCCCAGGGCTACAGGTTAAATGTTGCATGGGGAAGATCTGAGTGTCCTTGGCTGGAGGGAGTTCCCAATAACACGAAATGTACCCAGACCCCAGGCTAGGAGTGAAGGGTTCTGAGTTGAGTGGTATTAGGCATGTTCCCTGGCCAGGACCCAGAAAAAAAGGAAAGCCCTGTGTCTGGTGGACTGGGAGTCCCGCCCCGAGGTCCCTTGGGTCCCTTGCCCTAGGGAAGATAGGCAGGGTGTTGGTCAACTAACTGCAGATACAAACCTCACTGCTCTTTTGCTCTTCCCCCAGATCTCCTCACAACACCTCCCATTATGGAAGCCCCATCAATACATTCACCGTGAGGCCTGGAACCCGTCATCCCATCTCCTATGCCTACTCAGGAGCTCACCGCAAGGCCACATCCTGAGCCCAGATTTCTTTCAGCTCTACTCCAAGGGGTTGGATCTGCGCACTTGTTTCTGTGGGGGGTGGGAGGGTTGCAGCAGGTATTAGCCTGACTCAGATATGGAGGAGTCTGGCTCCCTGAGGACCCTCGAACAAATGAGCGAGAAGCAGTGGCCTAAGGAAGACTGAGTGGGCTTCTGTTTTCCCGGAGCACCGGAGCTGCTATGAACTGTATGCAGATGGGGGGTGGGAGGGGCAAAGGCGGAGGAGAGGAGAATGTTCAGGGCCTGGGCGCTGAGTTTCCGTTATCTGGTACTATCTGCTTTAGCAAGATTTATTTAAAGCAGTTTTACAAGCATGGCCTATGAAACAGGTCCTAGAAGCAAAGGATGGGTGCTTACTCATGGGATGCCTCACAAAGGGCTGAGGACCATCCCTGTTGGGGTGGGTGCAGGTCACTATAGGTAGATCTCTTTAGCCTCCACCTGTTGCCACCAAGAGGTGATACCTGGGGTTCCTAGCTGCACGGAGGCAGACCAATACTATGCATGCACAACATATGGAGAAGGTGATGGAATAGAAGCCTTTTGCATTGACCAAGGCCACAGACAGGTTAATTTCTCCTTGACCCTGGCCCTTAGCTACAGGGAGATCCACAGAGAAAAGACTCGGCAGTTGACAGGATCACATCTTGATTTTTTTTTTTAATTCAGACCCATGCATCCCTGATTTGGGGGAGCATGCCCAAGGAGCCAAAAGATCCAGGACTCAACACCAGAGGTCCTACATGGCCTGGTTTCATATGAGATATGGAAGGGTCATTAGTTCTAACCCCAATACATCACCAATATCATTGATGCCTTAAAATGTGTAGAAGACTCTGGAAGGCCTTGGAGAGTAGAGACTCAAGAGAAGTTTATTGTTGATGGGGAAATAGGTTTCGGAACATTAAGAGTGGTAGGACTGGGCCAGTCTAGAGCAGGTGAAACTACAGTAGGGTAAGCATTGGTCCTTTGCCTGGGCAGTCCAGGTTTATGCCTGTTTCCATGAATTAGGCCCTTTGTATTTTTTAAAAAGTTCCTATCTTCAGGTCAAGTTCAGCTGAATACCTGGGACCAGGCCAAGGCTGCCTGTCTAAGTAAGAAGGAGGGCAGGGGAGTGACCCACCTCATAGGAGCAGGCCAGTAGGGGGCCGCCAGAAAGCTCCCTTTGGAAGTTGACTCTTTTGATCTATGGTCACTAGCTGAGGTACTGGGTTGCAGCAACAGCAGTCAATCACTTCAAGGAAAGAAAGTGCAAGGAAGGTGGGCACCCAGGTGACTAAGGCCAGCCACTCTAATAGAGCAAGTTCTGGTTACTTGTGTTCAGGCAACAAATCCCATCCCAATACCAGCACTGGCTCTATAAATATGTATGTATTTCCTCTACGCAATGTTTTATAAAAGAGTTCATTCACTAATTTATCTGCTACATTAAGGCTTGAGGAGTAGGGTGTGGACTCCCAGCTGTAGACTGCTCTGGGATGGGTGGAGAAGGGCTTGGTCTTAGTTGGCTTGGGAAATAAACAGGCCAGTTTGGATTGGCCTCCAGCTCTGTGGCTGTGGATTGCTGACTCAGAGTCACTGGGTGTGGCGGGATGTTGGGCGGACTGATCTGGGAATCACGCAGCACTGGGTACCATCTGAACCAGTGAGCCATTTCTCTTCTGACCCTTAGGTTTTTTTGTTCTCTAGATCCCTCAGGGGAAGGAGCAGAGCAAAAATCTGGTGATAACAGCTATGTGCTTAAACACGTCTCTGATTTCTTCTTTCATGCATGATAACAATAACTATCCCATAAAGCTATTGTGAAGATTACAGACAGCCATGCAGCCATTTAACAAATATTTGGGTAACTGCTAAATGCCCGGCACTATGTTTGCATGGATATACAGCCATCAACACACTCCCATGGTTCCTAGGAAAGAACATCATCAAGTGTCGGAGAAGAAAAAGAACACACAGAAACATCCAAAATTAGGACAGGTGGTGGGGAGGAAAGGAAAAGGACATGTGAGAGAGTAACTAGGAGGTGGGGAAGAAGAGAGAGTTGACTCTAACAGGGTGGGGAAGGAAGGCCTCCTGAAGTCCTGACGTGCAGACTGATGTAGGCAAAGCATCCAGCCCAGGCCTGGCACTCAGTTTTTTTTGATACCTGGCATCTTTGGGTGATGACTGCCTGCGTGAGTCAGCTGTAATGAATACCTGAGATGATCAACTTATAGAGAGGTGGCCAGGAAGTAAGAGAGGAAGAGCCGGGTGAGATCCTACTAGCCCCTTCAGGGCACACCTCCAGTGACCTAAAGGCCCCCCACTAGACCTCTCAAAGTTTTCATTACTGGCCAGTAGGGGCACACTGAGAACCAAGCGTCTACCACATGGGCCTTCGGGGAACATTCCAGATCCAAACCTTAGGGCTCCTTTACATTGAGTGTGGCTCATCATGTTTCCCAAGAGCTTTGGCAAGGTATCTTCCCCAGCCTCTCCTGCCGTGCACGTTCCACAGAGCTGTTTTCGCCCACTCCCACCTCCCCACCCTCCAATTTTTTTAAACATTTATTTTTTAGTTTTAGGTGGACACAATATCTTTATTTTACATTTATGTGGTGCTGAGGATCCAACCCAGTGCCTCGAACATGCTTGGCAAGCGCTCTACCACTGAGCCACAACTTCAGCACACCCCCCCCCATTTTTATTTTCCAGAAACTAAAAACCAGGGAAGGTATCTCAAGATGGTCAGTGACAGAGAGAGCTGTGCTTCCTCCTCGGCCCGGCATGGGGTGGGTGTTGGGAAACAGGATGGCTCACTTATTTAGCAGGTGGGGCTTCCTCATTCTCCTGTCTCTCACTGTCCCCCACCCACCACGAAGCCCTCATCCTGGTGATAGAGAGTAAGGGCTTGGGCTCTGTATCTGGTTCCCTCCCTCCTGGGTCCCTCTGAGCATTTCTTTCCCCTCGCTTGCCACAGGATGGGCAACAGGGAGAAATGGTGTTTAACTGGGGTGGAGGTTGGAGGGAAGGACCCTACATCCTGGCTCTGCCTCTTACAAGCTGTGTGACCTTGGTTCCACTGGCTCATCTGAAACTTGACCTGTGTCTTAAATCTGCTGGGTCCCTTTTTCGAGAACTGACAAGAGCTATCCACCAGAGAGATGCCCACACATGCTTCTTATACGTCAAGCTCGCCACAGAGCCCGCATGTCTGGGCTCTATGGACATCACGGTGAAAACTGATAAGACGGTAGCAACCATCAGCATTTACAGAACCTGACTATTGGGAAAGTTGGAACCTTCCTGCGCTTACTCACAACAGCTCCTCTAAAATGGGTCCTCTAAAATGCACAATAGTGTGCATTCCTGATTCCATTTCCTAGATGAGGAAAGGAGGACTCCCAGAAGGGAAGTGAGTTGACAAAGGAGCCAGGAGAGGAAGAAGGGCCCCTGCTGGGGGGCTTCATTCCAGCCCCCTCCCCCGCAGCTACATCCATCCTCCCCCAGCTGTGCTACCCCCTAAACTCGCCATCTTATCAGAGCAGGGATGGGGGAGGGGTCAAGCAGGGGAAAGCCTGGCCAGTGCCAAAAATGGCTGAGGGACATGGGTGGAGCAGGGGTTCCTGGGTCAGGGTAGCCACGCCTTGATTTCCAAAACCTCCTCACTGCTCCTGGGTGTGGCTCCAACCCCAGTGGCCAGCACCTTGCCTCTTTTGTGAGGCCTATGCTGGCCCAAAGAAGCAACCCTGGGCTGGTCCCAAGCCTGGGTCTTGGTGTCAGCAGTGTGTAAGAGGCCTGTCCTCTGGAAAAGGCTGAATGAACTCTGTTTTCCCGAGGGCTAGGCCTAGGAGAGAGTCCTCCCTCACTGAAGGCCAGCCTCGGGCTCTTTTCTGTGCAAAGCTGTAGGGGAGAGGTGACTTGGAGCTGGAGGGGTGAGGGAGAGGCCAGCTCTGCTGAGCTGTTAGGCAGACCTGCCCTGACCTGCTTGTCCCACCTGCCTACCCCTAGCGGCAGAGGCCCCTTTCATCTCTGAAGCTCAAAGGAAATGCTGGCGTCCCATCATTAGTCAGTGGTGGGGAAGGGTAGCCGCTGACACCATGCAGACAGCCTGCACCACCTCCCTGCCAGGCCCAGGAGGCCAGATGCTGCAGACCTGCTTGGCCTTGGCTTTAGATCTTGGGCTGCTTTTGCCAGGAAGGGGAGAGGACATGCTCTTCTGGGTGCCGGGTGGGAACCAAGACATGCATTATGTGTGCTCCCTGATTTACATGGGAAATCCAGGACCCCTCTGTGGATTCTCAGTGTCCTGGAGGCACAGATGAGCCACTCCCTACTCCTCACTCTCTTTAAGAATTGTTCTGAGTTTCCAAAGAACAGCTTGCTCCCCTCCTCTCCTGCCTTCCGCCAAGCCCTCCTTCCTCCACCCGGCATCTCAGTTCCTCTCCCAAGACCTCCCACCTTCCTTTTCTCTAGCTGCTTCTTCAGAATACTGTAACCGGCTTCTTACCTTGCCAGGGGTCACATTTCTACCTTTGGAAGTGCTTCTTGGACATGTCTACATGGATGGATCTGCATTGGCCATCTACCCAAACCCAGCTTCTCCAAAAGGAATTCTCCTCCTCCCTTTTCTTTGCACAGTTCTGAGACCAGAGCAGCCAGATTGATGGTCCCACTATCCCCAAGTGCTCATTCTGCCTCACTGCTTGGACCTCATGGAAGACATCCCTCACCTGTGGGGACACAGCAGCTCCTGTTAAGGGCACCCCCACTGACCCACTCCACGCCCAAACACTGGTGTATTTTACTCTCTCTCCAAGAAGCTTACAAGCTGCATAACTCATCATAGAAGCCCCAGGATCTAGCACAGCTCCTAAGATGAATAGGCACTCAGTATATGATTGTTGAATGAATGCATGTTTATACTTAGTCAAATATTGCCAAACACTTTTGAAGTTCCTTAAGGGCAAAGTCCATGTCTCCCATGGACTTTTGAACACTATATTGTTTTTTTATTTATTTATAAATTGAAAAATTATTATTTACTTGACAGATAATTTCTGAATTAATATAAAGAAATGACAATAACTTGTATACACACTAATTCAAAATTTTTTCAATAAGAACCAAGTAGAACAGTTCCCAGTCTTTTTCAGCAAAAAATAACTTTTATCATTGAAAGATTGCCCCAATTTAGTTTATTGAGGTGTTTTGTTTTGTTTTGTTTTTTGTGCTGCTGAGGATTGAACCCAGGGCCTTGTGCATGTGACACAGGGACTCTCCCAACTGACTATATCCCTAGTCCAGTTTATTGAGATTTTTAATGAAGAAATCTAAAGCTGCCAATCAGAGCTTCTAAGTAGCACAAGAAGACCAGGTTAAACCCTTATAATATAAGTAAAAAAAAAAAACTTTCAAAAGCTTTAACTATACATTCTAACTGGGGATCTGCTGGCCTCAGGCTGGTAATCAGAGGTCACTGGTCCTTAGCCAAATACCATCCCACAGCACAGATGAGAGGGTAATGAGTATCATATACAAAGTGAGTATAACGTATGGTATAAAACATGGTCTTGTGTGTTCACTGGGAACAATGCCTAATTCCCAGGTGCACACTATGCAGCAGGGGGCCCAGAAACAGAATTCACTAACCCACAAGGACAATGGAAGGTAGAAAGTCCCGTGCCCCGGGATGAAGCGGGAGGGGTATTTGGAGCCTTCATGGACCAGGTGGCACCCAGGCCAGACCAGGTACGTGAGTGGAAGTCGACAGGTGGCAAGGGATCTTCAAGGTTGGAGAGATCCAAACAAACAAAACACTGAGCCTCAGACCTAGCGGCCACTCAGAGGACAGGGGAGTGTTTGTGTTGGGTGAAGGGACACAATCTAAGAAGAGATGCCTGAAACAGAAAGCAAAACCTCCTTCAGTAAGAGACGGAGGCCCCACACTCTCTGTGGAGTCGAAGTGGGATCCTTCGCAGCTCATTCTCCCCCGGGAGGCCCAGCCCCTTGGAATCAAATCCATGAGCAAGAATCTTCCTTTGTGTAAACTGTCTCTTTCCCAAAAGTAAAGCAGAAACACAAGAAAACAAAATGAGACTCAAAAGAAAAAGAGACATCCGAGCAAGCTTTGACCCTTCATACTTCATTGGTGTTCCAGCTGTCACACTAGTGGAGACAGGGTCTTCTTCGTTGCTCACACGGGTTCATTACTGCAAGCATTTAGCATATTATGTCCTAGTACAGCTCCTCTCAAAAGCAGGAAACTCCATACAGAACATAGACTTACCCAAATAAAAGGCGGCATCAACTTAAGGATCTAGTGTAATATTACAGCACTCACCTAAATTTTTTTTTTTTTTTTTGCACCAGGGATCGAACCAGGGGTGCTTAATCACTGAACCACACCCCAGCCCTTTCTATTTTTTATTTTGAGGCAGAGTCTTGCTAAATTCCTTAGGGCCTCACTAATTGCTGAGGCTGGCCTTGAACCTGTGATCTTCCTGCTTCAGCCTCCCAAGTCACTGGGATTATAGGTGTGTGCCACCACAACTGGCTTAACCTAGTGTAT